CCCGCCCCGCCTCACCGAGCTGAGCCGAGCTGCACCGCGCCTCGCCGCGCCCGCCACCGCCCGCTGCTCACGCCCAGCTGCGGGGCGCACACGCTCAATTGAATCGAAATGAAATTCACTTCGTTTCAGGCCGCCGGGGTCGGGTCAAGAGGCGGGCTCTCCCACCTAACCCCTTCGGCTGACGTGCGCTCCGGAGATGGATAATGAATATCGCTGAGTGATGCCCTTCTAAGGCGGACACATGCGCTGTCTTGGGATGTGCCCGGTTTAGCGAAAGGTTCAAACGGTCACGGCTCCTGCATGGAAAAATTGCGTGTTCATAGAAATGTTTTGGATATCTCGGAAGCAAAGATGTATGTTAGACACAGTTTGGAGACAAAATGTAAAGATTTTTTAAATCCAAAAAAAAAAAAATTAAAGTCTTATTTTATAGACATGATCTTTCATTGCACTACAGTATTTACAAAATTCACGAACCCAAGAAACACCTCATTATTAGATGATTGGCTTTCGTCATTTAGCAAAATCGGACCTAATCAATCATTCGCGTTAGAACTTATATTTTTTTGATTAGCGGGAAGGCTAACATAATTTATGCTAATACAATTTTGTATTTTGCTCTAGTGAATAATAACATTTTAGTATACATTCACAAGTGCTCGAATTAATGGGAGTACGAGTTCACTTGTAAACCTTTACCAAGAAACGCCACTGGATTCAAGATAATTATTCAAGATAGATAAATGTAGATAAATAGTACGCTGTATTACGTCATGTTCCAGCAGTGTGAATTGTGTTGGAGGAAGTCCAAAGTAATGTCGTCCAAGAGCGTTCCCCTCTACTGCCCAGTACCTACACGTTATTGCTCAGAAATACGTTTCCAATTTTCGTTTCAAACAAATTCTAGCACTTACCATCGTCATGAGGCCTACTAGTCCAGCTGCACACACGCTCAATTGAATCGAAATTAAATTCCCTTCGTTTCAGGTCGACAGGGTCAGGTCAAGAGGCGGGGACTTCCATTTACCCCCTTCGGATGACTGCAAATGGGAGTTTGATAAAAGCTAATACATTTAGTCAACGATCGATCAAAATACTTTAAATTTCAAAATCTGAGATTGAAATAAAACATCATTGAAATTGTGTAAGTTAGTCTGTCTCGTGTAAAAATTTTGGGAAGAGATTTCTCTTAACATTGGACGTACTCACTTCGATTGTCGGGACAGCAATACACTACAATGTTTCAGTATTTGATGATTGTTTTAAACGTGTCATTTGAGTACAAGCAAATGCCTTCAGCAATATCATTGATAGTGCCACAAACGTCCCCATCTATTTAAATCTTGTTTTTTTTAAATGACCGATTGCATCCAGAATGATCTCGCTGCTACTAAAAAGTGTTCTTCGCTTGAAAGAAATCTCTTCACTGGAAGGGAAATTAGTAAAATTTACGGTGGATGAAAAAAATATACATCTAATGTTTAATGAAGATTACGTGTTTTATGTTTTTATTATTTATATCGTACTTAAATAACCGTATTCATTTATAGCAATATTACATTCACCTAAAACACTCATCACAGCTTCATTCACTATGACTAGAAACTAATTTTGTTTCTTTTTTTATTTTATCCGTTTAATTATGTTACAAACTTTCTCTTGTATAGACCTGGGACTTCTTCCTACTTCTTCCATTGCGATCAAGCACCAGAAAACGTTGATCTTTTCCACATCTTTCTAAATGGTTCAACACAACTCACTACTTCCATCCTTTCAAAATGATCGGCACTCACTCTCATAAACTAGGGTATCACAGTATTTCTGATATCTGATTGTTAGAAGATCGCGGCGTTCTAAACAATGTGGTCTATGATATAAGGCTTAGATGTTTCAGAGCCTCATGAAGTAATCCCAAGTCATACACACGTTTCACTGAGGTTTACAGTAAATGCTGTTTGATCATGAGAATAATGGAGTAAATAATTTGACGATAGCTCGATTTCACATATCATTACGTTTACTGCTACAATCTTCCGTCAGTTAATTATCTTCTTCCATCTTGTATATGTGTGTTTTTATATCTGTTAATAGTCTTCTGATCTTTGTTTGAACCATACTAATTTTCTTCACTTCACATGAACATCACTTCACATGAACGCGCGTTAAATCAGTAAATAATTTCTCAATACCCTTTAAGTAGTGCCACTAGAATACTCATGAATTTCAGTAAGTTTTATATCTAAGTCCCTGATCATTTTTCATGTTTTAACATTCAGACAAATAACGTGAATAATAATAATAATAATAATAATAATAATAATAATAATAATAATAATAATGATGATGATGATGCATGTAATATAATTTATAATTTCATAAGAACCTTTTCGAAAAAGTAAGAATGATACTCGTACTGCGATTCACCATAATTACAAATCACATGATTTTAACTAAATAACGCTATGTGAAAGTTTGGCTTGAATAACTGAATGCTTAGTACTTTTCATGATATTTTTTCGTGGCTTTCATGTATCAATACCATTTCTATTTTAATCAGACTCTCAATCTTTGGAAATGTATGGATATCCACCATCGTTCAGGCTTGAAATGGGATTCGGTTCAGAAAACGTCGATAACATCGTAAATAATGCAGTTCTTTTTTAAACTGATAAGATTCATTACCAGTAATGCTGCTTGCGCATGCACTTTTCGCGGAAATTCTATAAGTAGACCAGTACCAAGATTGCTACTACACAGCGACTTCAGTATTCTGAGATTCCAATCTCAATTCGACTCCTTCACATCGCATCACATCTCATCCCTAACACATGTTTTATTTTTTAACTCGGCAGGAAATTTTCTCATTTTCTTTTTGTTTTTTTGAAATCACGATCAAGTTACTTGCCATTAGAGAATCGCAGAAACGACCATTGTGTTGAGAAGAAGCTCTCAGCTATTCACAAGCCCGCGTTTCGAACACCGTTGCCGAAGTTTCAAGAATCAGTAATATAATGGAATTTTGGAAATTATGTCAGGATTGACTGTTCTAATCGTACCGTTTCTTCCTTGGTCATCATCATCATCATCATCATCATCATCCGGCGTTTTACGTCAACTTAACCTTTTGGTTATCAACTAACGCTCCCTACCCTCAGTTAATACCATTGTCATTTTTAGAGTCCCTTGACTAGCCTCTACTCCGTAACTCCTCAGTGACTTGTGAGCCCATTGCGGCCAAGCACGCGCTTTTACCGCTTGTGGCTCATGAGCCCATGGCGGCGCTTAATCTCTTTTACAGAAAGGGAGGTCGGGTAGCGGCCAGGAGACCCTCACGTTGTGTTGCTTAAGCCCATCCTTCACCCCTTGGCACGCAGGCAGTCACGAAAACATTCAGAAGGGGAGAGGGCTGGGAAGCGGTGGGATATTGAAAGTAATACATGGTAGTTGGGTCAAGCCAAGACATGTCACAACATTAAAGCACACCTCCGTGCCTAGCCGGGTTTCGAACGCGTAGACCCCGCAGCGAGCGGCAACCACAATAACCACTACACTGCTGGTCCCGTTTGCGATCGCCGTCTTCCTTGGTGTTTTAACCAAGGTACATACATTCAGTTTCTCATAAAATTTAGTGGTGGCATAATGGGTACACATGCTCCTTCCATTCTTTTGGTCGTCGTTCAAAAAAGCTCTTGAGGAATGACTGAAAAAATAAGGCCGCAATTTACGTATAGCACTCTTGGTTGCTGGTGGTCGCGCACATGAACCACGGGACCTTAACGCATCTATATAACCCCAACTAACTGCTCCGAATGGCCGTGTCGTGTTCAAGCGTCCGGCGGCGTGCGCTAAGACGCGCGTGCGCGTGTTGCTGTGCGCAGAGTCGTGCGCGGGCGTGGAGTGCGGCGAGGGCCGGCGCTGCGAGGTGCGGCGAGGGCAGCCGCGCTGCGTGTGCGCGCCCGACTGTCGCGGGGGCGGCGCGGGCGGCGGCGCGGGCGGCGGCGGCGGGCGAGGCGCGCGGCGCCGCGGGCCCGTGTGCGGCTCCGACGGCCGCACCTACCGCTCGCTGTGCCGCTTGCGCAAGCGCGCCTGCCGACGCAAGACGCAGGCCCTCACCGTCGCCTACGACGGACACTGCCAAAGTGAGTCCCTTCTTCTCTGCACTGTGACACTTCTCTTACTGAGGCGTACTCTTCAGTATTGCCTGACATCTTATTACGTTTTGGAAACGTCTCTTCAATTGTGCAAAAATCAAATGTGCAGACTATTCTTATAATATACATTTTTAATAATGAGTAGGTAACATAAGCCAGAATAGCACTTCGATTGAACTTTCGTCTAACAATTTCCTGTTAAACTACCGCATGCAAACATAACGTCCAGGAAATATGGGTGGACTCGTTTTTTCTCTTATGCCTGCAGAATGTGTGCCTTTACACGTGTGTATGTTGCAAAACATGATTGCCGTCTCGCAGACACTGTTTGGCGTTTTGGGGCAGGCATCAACTTTCATTGCTGTAAGCTTCTGTGGTGATAAGGTTAGAATAAAAGTTACTTACGTATGCCAGTTTCCATGCAAGGATGCTACCAAAGGCGATCCTCTGATATGCGATATTATGGTTTCGTGGAACAATGTTAGAAAGGAAGTTCACGTGTATAGGGATTGAGCATTATGTTAAGTTACTCGAAGTAATATTGCTTTGAAATAGTCGTGGTTTACTGTTTATTCTCAAGCTTGACATGCCGTGAAATTGAATACCGTACAATATAAAGTTTCAAAAGAACATGCTAACCAAAAGCTTACCCGCTATTTACTTCAGAGACATGTTCATTTGTCAGTAAAGTTTAAAATTATAAAATTTAAATAAGTCGATTCAAAAATTCCTTTGAATTAAATCACGCATAAAATGTTTTGTTCAAACAACAATCCCTGTGCTAAACAAATTTATTTAAGATCAGATATTACGATTCAACTGCGTCATTCTGTAACTGCTAAAAACTTTTGATTTGTCTTCATTCCGGTTTGAAATGATTAACCACGCTATGGTGGTTTGCACTAAATCATGAGAGAAATGGCGGGAAACACGTATAATGTTTTATTTAAGAATAATTAAGCTTCTAATCTTAGCATGTTAAAAGCCATCAGCAAAACACGAAGAAAAACTGTGATTTTGAACTTGGATTTGGCATTGCCGTAGTCATCCCCGGCCTTGCGTCGAGCGAGTAAGGTGCAATGACGGTCCGACTGTGTGCGCAGGCTCTTGCGAGCGCCTGCGCTGCCCGGCGGGCAAGCACTGCCTGCTGGACCAGAACCTGCGGCCGCACTGCGTCAAGTGCGCGGCGCGCCGCTGCCCGCGCCGTGGCCACGCCGTGTGCGGCGCCGACGGCGTCACGTACGCGTCGTCCTGCCACCTGCGCGGCGCCGCCTGCCTCCGCGGCCGCGCCATCCCAGAGGCCTACCGCGGGCCCTGCAAGCGTGAGTACCGCTGCTGCCCCTTGCCTCTTCCTGCCACCCGCGCGTGCCCGGCACACCAAGCGAATGCGGCTTGCGATGAAAGAACACTGGCGAGCGCATTCTTTGGTTGAGTAGAGAACGAGGAAGATATCAAGTCTAATAATAACTGCCCCAATAATGAGAGTTCACTAAAGTTCCATAACGAGCATTTGCAATTAACTTTAGTTTATTTTTATTTGTCGTATTTTATCTGAATTATTACTAATACATTTTTAAAATTTATAATAACTAAAAATTGCTTATCTCATCTCCGTAGAAAATTCCATTGTGAATTATATTCGCAAGCGAGATTTTTTTTAATCTGTTCAGTGATTTTGTGTTATCGCTCTGCGTTTCGATTATTTTTGTCCGAATGTCCTTTAATTAATACTATGTCGGAATCGCCGGAAAACTGGAAGAATGGGGAAAATAAGATTTTTGGAGTGATAAAGTGTATGATTTTTTTATTCAAAACCCAAGAGAATTTATTGGCCTGCGCTATCCTGGAGGCCTACCGCTGGCCCTGCATGCATGAGTACACGTGCTTCACTTGACATTTTTTACTCGGGGACGAACGAGCAAAATAAAATAACTACATGTGTCATACACCATTCTTTAGACCGTCCTACTGACATTAATTTAATTTAATTCAAGCATACAAATCACTAAGCTACGTTAAGGGGCAGTTGTAGTTGTAGTATGAAAGTATTTTTTCTTTGTGTTATTCATAGTGTTATAAATATTTGAGCATCGTTTCACTTTTAACACTGGTGGTAAAAATTGAACTTTTAACACTTTTGAGTGGCCTTAAAAACTGCTTTTTCTAGGACGTGTCTATATTTCTTTTCTCGAAATACTTTTCTGTTTTATCAATGTCATACAATGGTCATATCAATGTCAAACAAAATAAGATGGCCGAAAAGCCACCCTTTACGACCGGCTTCTATTAAGGATTTTTCAGTAAGAACAAGGGAAGAAAATGAGTTGTAGTTGATAAAGCAAGTGAGCACATCTAATTCTTGGAAAGACATTACTTATTTACACGATTTTTTCTTACTTAGTTACCAAAAGCATTGAACGGCACACGACACACGGCTCTGAATTCGCTTCAGAATTTTCGCTTTCAACGTCTCGGTATCTGATAGCTGGTCGCGAAATTAAATCGCCCCCAAACATTATTGCCGGATGGTAATGGAAGTCTACATAAAAGCATAATAAACAATAAATCACCATTACGTTCACTTTCATGTCTTGCAGTTTGTTGAATGCGTCGAAGAATGGTGTTATAAATATATTTAGTACACTTATCTTGGTAATAATATTGTCCACTGCTTTCTATTGGTTTCTATTAGTTAATTAATTATTCACAAAGAAACATTTTATTTTTCACATTAATGAAGGAATATTTTCATACAACTTTCTGTTTTTATCTCTATACCTTCTCTCCCAAATTCAACAATACCTCTCCTGTTACTTCTACCCCGGTAACCTATTCCACACGACCATGACCACGACCTATTCCGCATTACAATCTTCGCGAAGTACACCTTCATACTATAAAGAACAAGGATCGTGTCCATTCAAGTCCTCGGCGTCTTGAATTAGGTGTTTGAGTAATGTGGTTTTCCGAGTGGACTATTTTAACGCAAAATTTGATTAGAGTTTACTCCACATTTCAAGCAAAGTTACACATCTTCGGTTTCGTTAATCCGCGAGGACAATTTAATAAGATGAGAGCTTCTGCTTATCTTCCGATCTGGCGGAAGTCCACGCGTTTTTCATGGCACGAGTCTTAAGCGAGAAAGTTTCCTTCACCGGCTAGTGAGGGAGGTTAAGGAATGACGTGATATACGCTCACGGTTTCTTCAGCCTCGGAATACCTACCTCCACTCTTTTCCTGACAATAGTTGAATTAATCATAAATGATAGCAATGAACGTTTTTGAAAAAATCTGAATACCAGAAATCTCTCGTACTATAAAAGCATTCTGCTCGAAAAACAAGTTACAGATTTGATACAATAGTCCTTCCATCGAAATAATCAACCATCCCACTCCTCTCGAATGAGGGCCCAAGAAAACGTGTGCGGATAATACCTCCACGAGTTTTTCTTGATTGACATTTACGCGGCCTGAATACGCCATGTGACATAGTTCTCAATGGATAACATCTCAAATTGCTTCAATTCGTCGCGGATTGTGTACGCCATTGTGTAACACTAGCGGAACGATCGACTATCGTAGTTTTTGTCATTGTTATTCAACTTCGAACAATTTCTTTCCTGTTACGCTGTTTACGTGTTGTGGGTCCACAATCTATGATCTAGATCGTGACTATGAATTAAACGGGGAACAGAAAATTAGAAACTCTATTTAAAAAAATCAATACACTGAATGTAATGATATTTGTGCGATGTCTGCAACATGAACGTTAAATTCCTAGAAACGCAAACAGAGCCAGTTGAATAGAACTATCACATTAGCCAGTGTAGAAGTTTAGTATTGATTTCTAAAAAATATGTAATATTCGTAATTCTATTTAAAATTGTTTCAAATATTCCAATAATATTAAGATGTAATAGTTGTAATTAATGTTTGCAGTTGTTTAAAAATTCTATTAAATTTTTCATATATTCCTATCTAAAAAAGCGTTACATGTTACAAATCCATAAAAAAAAGCACTTTATATTATGATGCTTATAATAACATCCGAATGGGAGAACTAATGAACTATTAGCGCACTGTCGTAGATACATGAAAATAATGAGTATCATTTAACGTTCTTTCTTAATACCTCTCTCATCAGTTCAAATGTTACCATCTCTTCTTTCTAAAACTAACTACAGCAGACGGCCATAATTCAACACAGATTGATACATCCGGCCTGATATGACTGATGTATCAGAGTACTGAGAGGTGGTAAAGAAAAACTGCTTTTTTTCTAGATACAAAGTTGTTTGGTGCATATACTGTTAATCGCTATTAATGTTAGTCTTATTGTTAGTGAAATAGTCAATTTACTATTCAATGAAAGTATTCACAAAGGCTTTTACAATTGTAAACCCGGCGACAACGGTATAACCATTATCATAATGAACTGTTACGGCAAAGTTCACGACTACAAACTCAGTAGGAATTTGGATTTTAAAGGTTGAAAAAACATTTAGATTCACAAAAACTTACCACACGTGCACGTAGGGTTGCATAACCCCGACGCATGCATTCCACCATTTTCAACATTCTCCGTATTTGTAGTCTTTTCGTTTTTCAGCAGACTTGCCACCCCCTAGTTTGCAGGTTTCAGAAAATATTTGGTTAAACAAATATCAGTTATTTCAGAAGAGCCCTGAATTCGTTATATGTATTACAAAATGTACGTTTTGTATTGTCAATATGAATGATAGGTTCTGTCGTGTTTCAGTTCATACGTTCGCTGTATCTTGTTTAAGTTTTCAACAAACTTAGACTTAGACTTATAAATCACGCGAATGATCGGTTTAGGATGCTTATGGCACAGCGTCCAACGTAGTCTTCTAATAAATTGAAGTCTCAGATTCAATTGCTGGATTCTCGTAGGGGACTTTATTGGTAAATCGATATTGCTGCCTGCCTCCGGTGTTTTTTCAATACTACCTCCTTTCACTTACCATTCACTTTCATTTGTGTATTTTTTCCGTGTTTCTCACGTACCACGTGATGCAGATATTAACCCTTAGTGAAAGACCCTCACAAATAAATTCTTCGAAAAGAAATATCAATCGTGCGTACAGTTCGCAAAGACTTCGAGATTGGACACTTTTATCATTTACCTTGGAGTTTTGAGTTCCCTTATTTTGTGTGAAATCAGGAATGGGCTATACTGAACGTATTTTCCTATGAGTTCTTCTGTTTCTCACTTCTCTTTAATTACTCCATCATCGTTCATCTGTATCATCATTTATTTAATCCTTCAGTCATTAATAACTACGATGAAACCTACCCAAAATGCTCTAACAAGTAGCCGAGGTTTCACAAGTTACTCTTTGTTTTTCATTCCACCTGTCTCATTTCCATCATTCCAGGCACACTCGTCAGTTTCACAATTCTTTCCCCAAATAGAGATGAGTTTAAAGCTTTTGAGTAGATCCAGTATAATGTAAACGAATGTTACGATAAATTAATTTAACGACCAAACAAACAATAATTATTCGTTTTGAGAGCTGCATCCGTAAGTGATGTGCCGACCTCCAATTTCATATCTTAAATAAAATAGTCCTAACTATAGAGAAAATATACAGAATATTGTTGCGCATGCCACTTTTTGACATGAGCGAGAAGTGTATTCTTACGAATGCGAATTCTTTAAGAAAAAATTAGCTAAGTGAATTAGATTTCATTCGAAATTTGCAGCTGAGTTTACCGAAAAGCGCAACAATTGATGATCGTTATATGAGTTATATGTTTAACACAAATTTTGATATGTGGCTCAAATAATATGTGTGATCTTTTATTTGCGTTGGCGTTGCTTGATGCTAAAACGTAGGGCAATGATCTGCTGATTTATTTGTTACTTTTAAGAATTTACGAGTATTTATGCATTTTCTTGATACCTTCATTTCAAATTCAATCTTTTGAATTCAATGAGCCATTAACCCATCGTGTTCTTCTTCCACTTCATACTCTGCAGACTCATTTGCACCTGTCAACAGCTCGTCTTGTTCGGCATTTCCTTCTTCGTTGTCCTGCTGGACGCGGCGCACTAAACATACAAATTTGCACGTTTTGCACATAAGGCTAGCGAACGCTAAATGCATGGATACATCCTCGACAGTCTCATAAATAAACTAATGTATTGACGTTTCTAAATGGGCGACATTCCTACTAAAGAATATACGGTTAACTAATATTAAAACCGTTAGGACTCCATTGCTGTCGCTCCTAGGACGTTTGCAACGTAAGCAACTTTGGGTTGCTGTACGCATGCAGGCGCAGTAGCTAACAAACCTCTTGTTTTCTGAAACGTTCAGTTAACGGTATAATACAAGGACGGGTTACATATGATTAGTAATTTTTTTGTTTTGAATAATTTCCTTTAAACTAAACCTTTACTGACATTTTAAATAATTTTTATTTATCACGTTTTCTGTGTAATAACACGGTCTCGCGTCTTTGCTGGTATGAACTTCAAAATCTTGATGTGAATAACCATTTCCCACTCTCGTGGTTACGTTAAAATTGATGCAAACCTTTTTTTTTTCTTAAGAGAGATCATGCGTTTGCAGTATTGGAGTATGTAAGAAGTTACATTACTTCTAGAGCTTCTTTTCAACTAGTTAGATTCCACACAGGTTTATTTCTTTGTTTCTCACATTTACCCACAAGTGTAAAGTTTTATTTTGAGTGATATTAATCTTATCGTTATAGTTCTAACGAATTCAAAGTATGTTTGCATTTAAATTAGCACATCAGCCTAGAAATCGCACTAGATTCGTTAATATTTTGGAATTAAAAACAAAACCTATTAAGGAGGGTAGCAAGTGAACCAAATTTTGTCTAAAGGAGTGCGTAAGCCAGTCGAATTGGGTTTGGGTTATTGGGTTTAAACTTCAGGAAATTATAATTAGTAACATTCTATTAACAGGGTTTCTTACATTGTTAGAATGTAATATCTTCAGAATGTTAACTTCAAATTTGCACTTACGTCAAGAAAATAATCGACTGGCGCACTCAATTAACAAAATTCATATTTTAATTTGATAATTTGATTATTTTAATATCTAATTGAGCCCCAGGGAATAAGTGCACTTTCTTTGAAGCCTGCGTAAAGTGCAGAAGTATATAGTAGTGAAAGTACACAAAAATTGTAATCAAGGATTTTTAAGGGAAAACTTGCTGAAATATAAAGATGAACAAATAAAAATATATCCAGATAAGAAAACTGAGAATTTCGAACTTAATTTTCTCAGAAATGGAAAAGTGCCTGTTACTCCTTCGTCCTCTAAAGGCTTAGTTTAACTTTAAATTATCATCGCTGGAAATTTAATTTTGAAATTCCAGCATTTTTTATATTTATAAACGTGCTATCTGTTGCCGCAGAATCCTTTTAAATACGTTGTGAATATTCATAAGTGTTAGTTACACCTATCTAAAACTTAATACCTGCGGGTCTTTACAAAAAAGGAAGAAAAAAAGAAAAAAGCACGAAACAGTTTTGTTGATTACTTAAATCTGAATTATTAACGTCAATTTTCTTCTGAAAAGTCTTTTAATTACGATACTGCTAAAATTCGAACGTATTTATTTGTGAGTTAGGCGGTTATTTCGAATGTTATCAAAATGTAAAAATAAAAAGTAAAGGAAGACGGTAAATGAAGAAGTAGGTTCAGGTTCGAAGCGTTCTTGGAACTTTAGACGAATAATTTGAACATTAGCGAATGTGATGTGGCTAGGATAAGTGCAGCTCGTTACGTCGATGTGGAGTAGCAGGAATGTGATAAACAGGAATCAGATTGCTGGAGGGAAGTTCCTAAGGCCTGTGAGAGACAAGTAATGTAGTTGCGCGTTCCAGTGGATTGATCGTAAATTTCTATTTACTTGACATCACGTAGCGTACCCTGTCCTTGCTATGTAGTGCATATTTGAATTGACGCTTCGCTCTGCACTTGCGAGTTGAGGCGACCAGGATACGATCTCCAGCCTCCGCCATTTACATAAAAAAATGCAGAATTTTATGTCTGTGCAGTGCATCGATTTCAACGCATTTTTAAGACAAATACTTCTCTCGAACATTCAGACGCCTAACACGCCATATACGCATGTCTATACTTTATCCAACGCCTTTTGACCGATTTGCGAATAAACCAACGATGTCCGTAATGATTCGCTCATCGTCTTTCAAGCAGATTTATTCAAACCGTCTGGTTAATGCGCGAATTACCCAGCTAATTCGCGAATTAGCCACACTTTGGTCTTTAGTTGCAATATTTACATTAATTAACTATTTTTCATAAACTTATTAAAGACTGCATGAACTATAATTCAATTGTTTTCTCTACGAATTTTGTTTACTTAAATATTTTTTTAAAAAATAATTATGGTGGTAGCAAACACGTACTTGTAATTAACGAGTTTAAAGCTGGCAATATACGCGACAACAATGGATGTGCTCGTCTTGCAGCGGCGGGCGCGGCAGTGTCGTGCGGGGCGGTGCGCTGCCGCGAGCGCCAGGCCTGCCTGCTGGAGCCCGCGACGGGCGCGCCGCGCTGCGTCACCTGCAGCTACCGCTGCCCCAAGGGCAGCGACCTGGGCGGCCCCATCTGCGGCTCCAACAACCTCACTTACCCGTCCTGGTGCCACATGCTCAAGGACGCCTGTGACACGGGCTACGTCATCGAGACGCGCTTCGCCGGACGCTGCGACCGCCCGGCCGACGGTGAGTGCGCGCGCGCGCGGGCGAGTGGGGTTGGGGGGAATGAGGGGGGGGCGAGGTTGGAAGGCCAAGGACGCCGGGACGGGAGCCCTGACTGGTCCGGAAGGGTGGATGCAGGAGTCGAGAGAAGATTTAGCGAAATTGTTTTTCGCGCGGCGATGTACGTGGGGCGTTGCTTTATCGCAGGTAATACCATGGGAGGTTCGGTCTTTACCTGTAAATTCGCGAGCCGCGAAAAGGCGAATGGGTTTATTGGGAAATCTCAGAATCACTAGCTGCATTTATGTCGATTATTACGTCAAGAAAGTGATACAGAGAATTTTGAAATTTTGGATGCAATTTTGTCTTACACTCACTGCAATTTGATTATTAAGATTGTTTCTAAACTGAATTCTTAATAGATTTTTGTCCAATAACAAAATATTTTAAAATATCAAAATACAAAAAAATTCTTAATAGATTTTTGTCCAATAACAAAATACTTTAAAATAACAAAATACAAAAAAATTTGTCTCATCCTATGCCAGTGTGTACTGCTTATCGACGAATCACATAATCGCCACGAACTACATAAGATAATATGGAGCTTGTTTTCAATTAAATAATGTTTTTCTAGCCTCCATTATTTCGTCCTCTAAATTAATGTCGCTGGCTCAACTTCATTATCAATAAAAACAAGTATCTCTTTGGCACTATATCTTTATCTTTGACATTTACTGTAAAATTACTAATGTTGCGCAAGTATTTTTTTTTTTTTGTTTTTTGTTTCCGTGCTATTATGATTTTTTTTTAATTTTGCTCCATGCCCATTTGATTTTTTTAACTTATGGTAAACGCGTAGAGTGGATTTTTACAGGATACACTGAACCCAGAATTCCTATGTTCATTTTGCGACAATAAACTATTTACATGTCATTAATTCCAAAACGAACACAACAAAATATACAACAGTAACCAGGATATAGTGCCTGGAGTTAAGTCTCGAGGGAATCGTCTCCGAAGAGTATGAGAAAATCAAAAAATAGGATTCATCATAAACAAAAGCAAAATAAACTACAATTAAATCTGTCAAAAATGTATACGCACCGTGTCAAAAAATACACAATCAAAAGATCTGAAAGATTTTTTAGTATCTTCCACAATTCATTATTACCACTATTATTATGAACCTTATCACATATAGGGTAGAGAATATAAAGATGGGCAATTTAAGGGCAACCAATACGTTTTAGGCAATGTATAATTGTTTTGTTTAACAATAGAACATTCATAGTTGGCAAATGAATTACTACATATATGTAGATTTACGAGGCTAGTAAGTTAAATAGTTGACCATTACACTTTACACTTTATACAATGTGAAACTAAAATAAAGCAGAAAATATAGAGATGGGCAGTTTCATGACTATCGTGAGTACTTTGCAATATAGTAATGGGCACTCAAAAAAATGAATTGTAAAATGCCCAATGGAGCATTGTTAAACTCAGTTTTCTTGTTACTGCTGGTTTATTCAGCCCCAGTCATTTAGTAAGTCTAAACATATTACATAAAAATATATTTTCATCCTCTGAATCACTTTCCTCTACAGAATCTTCTGAGGGAAGGCATGATTTACGAAGCATCTTTTGACACAATTGGCATCAATCTTAAAATTGAATGAGTATCCACACTGGAATCTGCCCTGAAGAAAATATTTTCGTGAACTTCTAGAACAAAGAGACTTGCTGCTGCTTCTTTCCATCTTGCAAATGACTATAGAAGTACTCAGTTGATAAAGTGCCTTTTTCTTTCACCTCCTATAAGTGTGTTTATACATCGAATGGATAAATATATCATTCTTTGTGCAGAATTGACGTTTGTTTTCCTGACGTTAGCCCTATTATTTCTTTCTTATAGATGGAATGTTTTTTGCTTAATTTTGTTGAACTTTTATTCTCTTTCTTCTCCATCAATATCGCAGGATTTTTCAAATGTAAATGATTTGTTCTGTGTGTCGCGGTTACAATGTTTTAATTATCCACATTTGATGAAATATAATTGTACATCAGCCCTAGACAAATTTCCTTATTTCTTTAACTTTTTATAAGTGTGTTTAAACCTCGAGTGGATGAATATGTCATGCTTTGATATTTGTTTTCTGTGGGTTAGCCTGATTACATATTTCCTGAAGATGGAGTGTTTTTTTCTTAATGATTTTTAATATTCATACTCGTTTTTTCTCCAAAAATATCGCAGAATTTTTCAAATGTTAATGGTTTATTCTGTGTGTTGCGGTTACAATGTTTTCATTGCCCACATTTGATTGCAACGTCATTGTACATCCACTCTTGACATTTAGTGAAATCAATGCGCTCAGGGCTCCAAAGAACAAGGCTGCAAGCTCTAAAGCCATTTTGTAAAGTTTCTGGCGTTGTTGGGGGGTATTCCGGGGTTACAAATTTAAAGACACACATGACACAGGGATTACGTGCAGAGGGCCTCTCGCTGTTTGAAAATCTTATTATTGCCACCCTTACAGTTGCTCTGTCCATCCCTATACTGCTGTTCACGACTGTATCGGTTACCCTATAATTGGTCTCGTTTGAAGCAAGTTTATTTCTGTTCACTAGCCAGAACTTCGGATTTCTTCGAGAATATTCGTGTATTTCTTCTCTCCCAATTTGTTGTATAATGTGTATAATTTCTAACGGACGGTGTCATAACAATCACAATTAGTGATGTTACATCACATACTTTTTCGTATTATCAGTGTCACGTTAGCCCATCAGAGACAAATTATTGAACGCCATTAGCGTTCCATTTCATGAATTATTGAAATACATCGAGTGAAATATATTCTATATCTATTTCATATATTTACATGAAGCAGGTAAACTAATAAATTCAATTTATATTTAATGAAAATAATTCCTACTCACTACTAATTCGTTAACGTTTTAAAATATTGTGCATTCCTTTGAACAGTAATTAACTTGGCGCGGTGAATTTTACACGCATTCAATAGTACAGCTTCCTTAACTGGATAGTTATTTATGTGTCAGTTGCATACATCTTAGACAGAGGAGAGAGCAGAATAAGAAAGAGCGAGTGGAGTGGAATAAGGAGAAGAATGAGAGAAACGAGGATGAAATACAAAAACAATCGAGACAGCGTTTAAACGTTTTTAAATTTACTACTTTTTAATAAAAATTGTCGTTTAATTTTGCCCAAACTATAAAACCAATAAGTTAACTTTGCTTGGCGTTACAACTTAGAACTATCTTTTCATCACTCTTCCCTATTTTTAGAAGAATGCAAACTAAACGTGAACATCAAATAACACGCTCACTTCATAAGAGGTTTTGCGTTTCCACTGTCGTTTACGTCTGACGGCATAATGAAATGCACCTCACAGTTTACAAAAACGTACTCTACTAGAGCTTCTGGAATGTGATGAGACAATGTGACAGGAAGAGGGGGCAGACTTCTTGGTTCTTTCTGTGTATGTAAAGATGTGACAGAAATAGGAACTGTCTAGTAGGGTGTGCATATCGGGTCAGTTTATTTTTTCAAAATCTATAAATGAGTGAAATGCAACAGGGAAAAGGGGGTTGTGTAAAGAAAAGTTACACATATCTTCACATATCACATATAAAGAAATGTAACCCTATCATAATACATCATACTATCGTAATACATTTTAACTAGAGAGTACGTCCATCAGTTTTTAAATTTTGAAATTTTAATGTGTTCGGGCAAAAGAAGAATTGACAGCTGACAGGCCGCTAATCTTTCAAGAAGTTGGGAGAGGGGTTATGTTTACAATACATTTTTATAAATATTATTACTGCGTATTGATAGCATTTAATTCCAAAGGAGTATGGCTATCAAACTCCAACATACGGCATTTCAAGAAGAAATTCGCTCTCTGAACTAGTGGTGCCGCAATAACAAAAACGTTCTTGCATTATTTCTAACTGCTCCGCTAAAATGTACATTAACCTGCAAAAGTGTTTTCAATCAGAAAAAAAATCTGCACCATGACTCTTCAGGTCCTCAGAGCCTTACCTTTACGCTACGAGTGAGTTTCGAACTCGGGGCGCCTGATCAATTGCTAATGTGGTGCGAATGGAACCTGTCTTCCGGACATCCTGCTCTCCGAGGTGACGCGGGGGCGGCGGGTGGGGGG